CGTATCTCCAAAAGCACTCTTTTGAGAAAGGGAGAAATTATTATTTCTATTTAATGATCACGAAATTGAAGACAGATTGAGAGATTTGCCCAAGGATGTAGGGCAAACCTGCTACAAACTGAAGTGACAGCTTAGAATTCCTGATCTCTGCCTTCAAAAGACATTTCTGTCCTGTAGATCTTGCATAAGAAATGTCACAAGCATTTTCCTTTCTTATTCTACTTACATGCAGAATAACCTGGCTACACCTGATTAATTAAAAAATGTTATCCTATGTGATTTATGAGCTAACTTTGCCTCTTGTAAAACTCACAGTATATCCATACTAAGAGCAGAACTGCTAAGAAGTTAACGAGAGCAGGATACTTAGGAGACGTAAAGATAACACGAAAATTCTAGGGGAAGAGTTTGGGCCATCAGTGTACATAATGGAGAATTATATTAATTTTTTATGCTATGTTAAAACAGTTAGTAAAATGTTAGAAATGTACACAAATCTATAATTAGTTGAAACAGTGTAGCACATAAAAGTAAGACCGATGAAGCTTACCTTTCGCTCAACATCCTTTGGTTGCTACATACTTCTGGGATTTTTTTATTCCAAATGTCTACAGAGAGATAATCTGGAGTTGCTTTCATTTTTATGAACATGTAATGTGTAAGCTAGGATTGTGTTCCACTACTCAACAAAACTCTTTTTTTTTTTTCTTTTATCACATAATACTCCTGTAGATGTGGCTGTGAATGGCCATAATATAAGCTGGTGAAACTAGAATAAATCAGCAATAAATCATGCAAGACTGTGTCCAAAACTATTTACAACTTATATCTTAACTGACTTAATAATACTGCACTTCATGAAATTTCACAGACACGTACAGGAGCCCATTACTTGTGCCTCAATACTTCCGCAGCAGATGACATACATGGCCTTCCATTTGGCTCAATAGTACAACTAACAATTGCTTAATTACTTCATATTATAGGCATTATAGCCCCTTGTAGAAACTATAATGAAAAAAATGGATTGAAATTTCTGGTCTTTACAGTGCCTACCCCATGCAGACACTTGGTAGGGTAGAAAGAAAAAGTAACTGAAACACAAAGCAAACATACCTCCAGCTCTAGGAACGACAGGTTCTTCAAGTCTGGTGAAGATCAAGAGACATGAAGAGGGGATCTTGATTTCCCTTTACAGTTGCTGGAAGATAATGCAACCACAGTTAAGGAAGCATTTCATACTCAGGCTATGTTGGTTTCTATAAATAAAACTGAAGAATCTAAAACTGACTTAATATAACAGTGCAGCCCTGACTTTACAGAGTAAACTATGGCTTTGTGCTAGAGCAGTAGTCAGAGAAACAGTGAGACAGAAACTTCCAAAGTTTATGAGAGTTATAATAATTTCTGACATAAAAAATAGTAAAAATAGATCCTATCCTGTGTCTAGACAATTATTTCAGTAATGGAAGGATATCATATACTAGCATCTGTTCTTACATAATTTTTATTCATATAGAAAATAATTAATTTGAACTCAACTACATCCAAGATTCTAAACAATATTTATTTGAAGAGAAATAAAGCAAATTAGTTATTCTTGCTACTAATTAAGGTTGAGAAAGCATATGCAAATTAAAGGTAAGTTTGCAGTTTGAGGAAGTATTTCCTAATATTCACATAGAAAAATATCAACAATTTAAGTTCTCAGAAAAGCTAAGCACTCTTTTTAAGCCAGAGAGGGCCCATCAGAAAAATGTTTCAATTAGCTCTGTTCTTCACAGCTACCTGTGGGTCTGATCACTCACATCCACTGCCCCAAAATTCCATATGACTGAATTATGCCTACGTTGCTTTCTCAGCTCCCTAGCAAAAGCATTGCAAGTGCAATGTAATAGCTAAAGACTTTAAAAGAGACCAGAAAACATGGATATATTTCTTCTTGCAGGTAGAAACAGCTAATTCATAGTTACTGTCAAGCAAGCTCAGAGGTTGATGACTAAAAAAACCCATAAACAAAAGAGAAAACCCAAGCCCTTCCTTTCAAATTGTTTCCTTTTTTCCTCCCACGTGTATCCTTCAGCAACCAGCTGGAATAAGCACGCAATGAACACAGTTCACCTTGCTCTATGGTTTTAAGGCTCTAATATATTTAAGACTTTAAAACCACTGTAAATTTTCATGTACAAGTACAGAAAGAAATACAAACAACATATGGAAATGCATGAGCAATCTCAGCACCACCCAACTGATGGACCAGGAAGAAAAAAAAGAATGCAGCTTCAAAACCAGTTTAATTCTACCACAGACTATCAATAATATAATGCAATATAATGGTATAGCTGTTGCATGACAGCAGCGCATGAAAAAATCAGTGTTATTGGGGTGTTTGGTAGTGTATTTTTGTACTAACATGTTTGAATTTCTTTAAAAACTAAATTTAATCTCAGTTTCCTAGTGTTTATAATACTTGTTTTGGGAATAATTACATTGCTGTAGTTACAACTTATTCACTGTATTGCTATAACATGTAGGAGCTATAATCATGGACAAGACCATATTGATTTAGATGCTGTAAAAACACAAAACAGACTGCAGTTTAAACACAGGATTAAGCAGGCAGCAAACAGATAAGAGAATTGAGACAAACAAAGAAATAATGAGGCACTAACAATCAATATGGCAAGTAGAAGTTTTGGTGTGCCAGCTTCCAAACTGAGTTACTGGAGACTCAAAAAAATAACTTTTCCCACATCTGAGAGCCAGAATGAAGGAAAACACAGAGCTATTTATCAAAAAAATTTAACAAGTGGGCGGTGAAAGCTGGTGTCAGGGATTTGAAAGGGTTGTCATCTAAATAATGAATCATAGGTGAAGTAGACAACAAATGACCTTGAAAGCAAATCCAGTACATTATCTTTGAGTGACAGAGAAGGGACAGCTAGTGAGACGTGGTCAAAATTAGCAGCGAGGGAAATCTTTGCAGTTGTATTATAGAAAAAATACTATTTTTACACTTACAGGGCGGATGCAAACAAACTCCTAACTCAAATCACATATACCTTTGGCAGGGGTACATTATTACAAATGAGAAGGCACCAGGGATTGCACCGATGGCCAACACCCTGACGTCCACTGCTGAGAACCACCACACCGCAGCACAAGAAGGTACAAAAACTGCTTCTGTTCTTGGCTGTGGCACTGAGAGGATGGGGTCACAGAGCTGCTGGTCTTCTGTGCCAGTTCAATGCCTCAAGCCACTTGGGGAGTTGGCAAAGGACAGAGTTAATTAAGAGAGGGAGACTAAGTTAATTAAGAGAGGAAGAAGACATTATGGAGGTAAAAGGCTACAGAAATGCACCTACATCCTCCAGTACTACCTCTTAAATGGTGGAACATACGGTAATGTCCAGCCCTGTATTTTTTAACAATACAATCCAGATGAGGAAGAGATAATTTTACGGCACACAAGAGTCCATTCACAATCTAACTGCAAAACATAAGGATTTTGCTCCTCACTCATCATATTTTGATCTAAAATTCAGGGATTATGCCTGTGGCCGGCTTGGATTCTAGACTGAAGATCACATGCTGTCCCAGAAGCAATAATGCAGATCCCTCATCATGCCAAAACCAGGTCTGACTGGCACTGGACAATCCCAAACCCGTGACAATTGTCAAATGACACAGTGGCGTATCAAAAATAAATAACCCTTTACCACAGGGCACCGCACTTTTAATAAAAATTCATCGTCTCGTGTCAGATCAGGCAACACAAGTCGCGGGGGGGGGGACACGCTTACAGGGCGCGCGAGGGCGAAGGCGCTGAGGCGGAGCGCTGTGGAGGCAGAAGCCGAGCCGAGCCGTGCGGGGCCGCCACGCGCGGGAGGCG